TTCCAGAACCAAAAGTAGCTTCAAATCGTGAATATCTGATTTCAGTTCTGCATCAATTTTGTTTGCACATGCGGTAAAGGAAATTTTGAAAACAATAAAACTAATTTCGTCATAAACATTTGTTTTTACTTTATTAGGACAGAAATATAAATAGCAAACCTCGTAAAATTGTCCTCTAGAATTTTCTTGGTTTGTCTTTCATCCATGCCTATGGCAAAGAATTAATTTTATGAATTTCACATTTTATTTATGAAGGATGCATAAAGTTCGACACAAGCGTATTAGCATTCACCCTTAATACAAAATTTTATTAAAGTGTTTTAGATGTCCATGTTACTATAAATGTCATGTATTCTTGCATAAAATATTCATGCTGGAAACAATGTTTTACAGTCGTTATCTTATGCAGTAATCTTCATTAAATTAATAATTGTTTATCATTGAGAAACTGATTATTTTTGAAAAAATAAATTCTGAACACTTAACACTGTGAGCAAAACAGTTAAATTAAAATAAAATGATGTATTTGGTGCAACTTTAATTAATATTTGTGCAAGAAAGGTAGACTTTTTTATCTCGTACTTTATGAAATTTGGAAGCCAGGTTTTATACCAAATGGGTCATTCATTTTCATAGCTGCAAAAGTGAAAATAGAAGTTGCTCGAGGCTAATTACTCCAACAATGTTCATGTTTTACTCGAAGAAAAGTTAACCTGAAACTTAAGAGGAAAGTAAAGCAATGCATATCTGCCAAGTAAATATATCTTAATGAAGATATTTAGCGAAAAGCTTCAGTTATTATTATTTGCTTGAATGTAACGAGGAACATAAGGACTATGAGAATTTTCTAAGGGAACTCGCTAGTATCTACGTCACACATTGTGAAAATTTTAAAAATTGAAGCATGCAGTTTATTTGCCTTGCTTCGAACCCATGTTGAATAAAAGTGTTCAGCACTCTTATTAATTCGGCCACTGTTAGGCCTTTCTGTTATTAAAAGTAATTGAAAATTCTATTTATAAATAAAAACAGTTCATAAATAAATTAGTTCTCATTTGGAAGTTATAATTAAGCCATTTGGAAGTTGTAATGAACGTAGCTACATACTGCTATTCCACAGACTACTTTTATAATTTCTGTGTGAAATTAGAATCCTAATTCTTAGAAATTTTTACAGATAAACAGCACTGTTAATGTTTGTCTGTATGATAAACAATACTGTTAATGTTTGTCGCCTTAAATACTTTTTGACTTAGTGATTATTAAAAAATAGCCTATTCAATAAAAGAAATTTATACTCTTTTTCGGATTCTTTGACATTTTGAATTCCTAACTACTAGGTTTTCTATAGTATTTAATTCAGGAATTTCTAAAGCAAATCTCCAAAGTGTGCTTTTATAAATATTTTACAAAATACATTTTTAAAATCAGATTAATTAAATTATTACTATCGGTCATAATTCTATTGTAAATAGTTTTTTATTAGTATTATTATTATTTATAAAGCCGGGTGAATAGTAGAATAATATATGCAGTGTTTTTTTGCAGATGCTTAGCTTATGATTTTTAGCTGGATGGCGGATTTAGTTTTTCTCACAGGCATAAGAGACACTGAATTATGTAAACTTGAGCTAGAGGAAAAAAAACAAGCATATAGATTTATTTAACAGTGTCTATTAATTTGTTTAAATGTAACTGGTTTCGTGAATATCACATTTACAGATCATGTCACTTCTGCTTTTCGCAAATATGGGGAAAAAAAAAAAAAGCAGGCATTGCTAAAACTGATTTGTTCGCATTTGTTATCAATCTTTAATTACTTCAGCAGTGGTTTGAAAAACCATTTTATATAGTTTAATATTAATAATATAATATTATTTAATATTATTGATAATAATATTAATGGTCAACTTCATCAATCTTTTTACTTGCCAAGAAATGCAAATGAAATAGCTGCATACATTACAGAGCTTACTCAAGCAAGAACGAAAAAAAACAGAGTTAGAAATTAGAGTCCTAAAATCCATTGCACCAGATGAGAATTTCTGGAATATAGTTGGTAGAAAGATTTCATTCTTGAGAACAGCATCATACAAGACAAAATCATTTTTTGATTCTTCATACATATTTGTGCAAATCATTGTTTTCAGTAATGAATATCACAAAATCTCAATTCCAGATGAACATCTTGATGATTGCTTACGAGCAGGAATATCATCACATTCTCCTAATTATGAAGCAATGGCAAATGAAGGCCAAATATCACATTGACTTTACGAATTGCAATTTTTAAAGAATTTTTATATCAGCAATTGTAAACCAAAGAACTTGTAAACTTTTGTCTGCATTATTTAGCAATTATTTAATACAAGTATACAATAATTAATTTTTATATTATAAAATTATATTTTTGGAATAATATTTTATATAGTATTATGTGTATTATTAACTATGCAGACCTATACATGTACCTTGAAAAAATAAATATGCCTGCTGCACCACCAGTATTCTAGAATGGTTCTAAGGTACAAAATGGTTGGGTGGATCTGGTTTAAGCCGCGAGAATGCGCATCGGGCCTGCGAGGCGCGGTCTTCACAAAAACGTAATACAAAAATTTCTCCCTTTGGTGAAATTTTTCGACCTTCTCAGTTGCTGCGCTTAAGGTCATGTACTTGTCATTCACAAGCATTTCCGGAATTTAACCCTTCATCTTTTTTCAGAAACTGAGTAACCAGGTTTTCCAGGCCCGAGGCACGCGCTCACATTGTCATTTAAAATTGTGAAAGAGATCAGACAGTTGCAAAAAGGTCTTGCTATTTGAGCTATGACGATAAAATGAAAAGACTACAGAAACTATTAGCCGAAGTGTCGACTGATGAAGATACAATTAATGAAGAAAACGAAGAAATAGTTGGTGAAGAACAGTGTAGTGATCACCAATCCAATTCTGAAGAGGCTAAGCGATAAATCTAGAAATGAATTAAGTAATTTTGTGTCCGTCAGCGAATTATTATCTTGGCAAATATAATGTGACAAAATGGAATAAAAAAGAACCAAGACTTGCTGTGAGAACTCTTGCTCACAACATTATGAGAAAATTGCTCGAAAATGTTTGTGAAGCAAAATTTGTGTCCTTCTCTATGAATTCTTGGCAACTGCTTATGGATCAAATAATAGTAAAAATTCTAGTAGATTGTGTAAACATTTATATCGAATCCATCGCCGTCAAATTTGAAAGATAGAGATATGCTTGGTCCACAAATATTACAGAAAATCAGAGCATTTATCGGTCTTCTTTATTCTCGACCTTTGGGTGACTGTCGGAACAGTGCTTGACATTTTTCATCGAACAATATCTAACAAACGTTTTTTTATTTCTGATGAAGTGTTTGAGATTTGATGACATAAGAGATTGCTTTTCTAGAAGGGAATGTGCTATGTGCGAGAAAAATGTTTGTGGTAAACACAGCACAATTATTTGCAAAAAAATGTGAAATGTAAGTTTTATTTTGAAATTATTGTTGTAAAAATTTAATATCGCATAAATTAGTATTAAATTTCATTTGCGCTCAAAAAGAAATCAGTTTAATTTTTTTTTTTTTTTTTTTTTGTTAATGATAAATAATTTCAATCTTAAAATTGTTTTAAAATACAATTTTATTAGACTTATTAAATTAAAAATATATTTCTATATTTTATATACTCTTGTTTTTATTATTAAATTTTTTTACACAAGCAATTTTATTTTTGTTTTGTTAAGAAAAACGCTTCAGGCTTATGGAGTCCGACACGCGTCCTCGCGTAGCTAAAAGTAGCACATGTCTTCGCAGGTTAACATAAGCAGAGGAAAGCTTGCAGTAGATCTTGCAGGATTGGGTTTGAAGGAAAAAATGGCTATGTATTTTAAATGCTAGAACTTTGATTTAAACTAATTGGGGCTTAAAGCTAAGAACATAATGAAAAAATAGCTAGTAAATCTTTTTACTACCTTTTTTTTTTCTTCGTTATTTCCTTTCCTTTAAGCCAGAATTAGTTTGAACTGTCCAGGCCACTTGTATAGCGGGGAAGGATGATTTTTCTTCATTTTACTTAAAATGGAAAATCAAAGTCCTTCTCTTTCATTTTTGCTAATCACATGACAAAAAATGGGGAAAAGATATCCTTCCTTATAATAATGGGATTATGGACTGGGTGAGTGAATGTTTTTCATTTATGTTTTATTGCATTTAAGAAAGGAAAACTTTTTATTCTAAAATTTCATAACATCAATTTAGTACCCCTAGATGCTGCACCCAGGGACAGATGTCCCTGTTACCCTCCCTAGTTATGCCACTGAATATCACATAAGAATTAAGGTGCCAAAAGAACAGCATGGAGTTAAAAGTTCTGTGTTTGAGATTATCAAGTGTGTGCACTCTGGATCTTGAAATTAATATATTACCATATGTTTGAGATATATGAATTAATGTGATGCTGCTAATTTTTAACAAAATTAATGTAATTCTCAGCTTTAAAATAATAATGCTTTATTTGGAAGAAGGTATAATGCATTTTAACATGCAGCTGTTATTTTCAGAAAACATGACATGTATTTCTGTAATTATTTCACTTTAGTTTGGTGAAGTTCTTTCAGTCTGTAAATTTGTATATTATTTATATATTTTTAAATTAAATGTGTTATGTAAAGTCCAAATCATAAATCTTTTACTTATTACTCACATGAAGTAGAAGAAACTTTTTTTTTGGCATGGTATACTTCATGCTCATAACTAAAATCATTGTGCATGTGACAAAGTGAGAGAAATGTTATTTCAAAATAATTTTTCAATAATACTGAAAATAATATTCAGGGCTTTGGTAAGAATGTTTAAGAATTTAGACTTTTTATTTACGTTATTTTAATTGATTTTTATGTTTAGATTTAACATGTCATTTATATATTGGTCTTATGTTTTAACTAATAATAATCCTCAAGTAATGTAATGAATTATACTTACAGAATATGAAGGAAGGCAAAAAAATTACTATGTCACGAGATCAAGTATTCAAAAAAAGGGGAGAATTATTTGCTTTAAGGTATAATAATACTTCTCAATATAAAAAAAAAAAAAAAAAAAAAAAAAAGTTTCAAAAGTAATTTTAAATGTGAATTGTAATAACAATATTTGATTACAGGCATGTTATAAATTTGAGTTCAAATTTATTAGACACTCCGGATTTTTATTGGAATCGCCAAGATCTTGAAATTTTATATCACCAGACTTGTGAGCATTTAAATATAGCAGAAAGAACTAAGGTAATTGTTTACATTTCAGAAGAATTCAAATTTGGTTATAGATTTTTGCTAAAGTATTAAATATATCTTATATATATATCTTTCAGGTAATGAATAATCGCCTGAATTATTGCTCTGAATTAATAGATTTGCTTGGCAATCATATGAGTGATAAGCATCATGTGCGTTTAGAATGGATGATTATTATTTTAATCATGGTTGAGGTAATATTTTATTTTTAACTTTCTTACATTAGTGTTCAGGATTTTCATTTGTAAATTTTTTTGGCATTTGTTGGATCTTGCACTTCATAGTCATTCAAAAGTATTATAATGTTTTATTTTATTAATATTTTATTAATAAAACATTTCAAAATATTAAAGAAAATATTTTAAATAATTTTGTCTTACAATTTTACAGACTGAAATAGTTTTCTTTTTAATTGGATATTTATGTTTTAAAATATGTATACTATACAATATCAGTTTTATTTAATGTCGGTAGACAGACAACATTATGCTCTTTCATGGTCAAACTTATTTCTTTCCAATGCTTAAGGCAGTGATATACTTATCTGTTTGCTCAGTCTTATCACTTTACCTGCAGAAATGAGAGAAACCTTACTTTGAAGCAGAACATTAATGTTACCATGGTAATTGACCTTAGTCGAGAAGTACAAACCTTGCAGTACAGTAACTTTGGTTTTACTTAGCTGTAATTAGAATAAATTCTGAAATTCATATGAAGTGTCATATAATTAGGATTATAAGGCTCACAGTTTGTAATTCTTGTAAAGTGCTCACTTTGTCTAATTTATGCTAGTCTAAAATTAGGATGCTATGTTTGGACATCATTATGCTTTTGTTTTAATTTTTGTATCAGTGAAAATAATTAGGTGTAATGAAACTGTGTTTTTATTGCTGTCTTTTAAAAGAAGCATTAAATTTACCATAACAGTAAAATAAGTGCCTCTGATTTATGGTGCTTTTAGAAATTGATTTATTTATTTAATTAATGGAATTAGTTTTTTTTAAATAAAGTTCCTTTTTCTTATGTTTTTTAATCCCCCCCTCCAAATGAATGGAAAGTTTATTTTCTACCTTGATGTTTCTATTAAAAAAAATTATTTTTTTATAAAATTAGTGAATTTTGAAAGCTGTTTCTCATGTAACCATCTCTTATAATATTTTTAGATATTCTAATGTGTTTTATTTAGGATTAATTTGATAAACAAGCAATGGCACAGTGGCTGGCGCGTCACACAATAGCACCACGGGTTCGAGGTTCAAATCCCAGGCTGGGCAAGGTTAACTTAGCCTTTCATTCGTTAAGTGTGTCGATAAATTGAATACTAAGTTCACTTGGGGACTATCACTTGTTCAGGGCATATGCAACCCGGTGCCGCGGTCAAGAAAGCAGATATCAGGGCACTGCAGCCATGGTTCACTAAAGACTGTTGTGCCATTTAGTTTTTAAATTACAAATATTAAAGAACAGCTGATATTATTAGCACAGTACAGTTTATCATTATCTCTGTATTCTCTAGTGTGCTAGTCTAAAGCTATCTCACAATCACCATAAAGTGCTCCACACATGATGGAAGTGAGCTTTGTATTAAAAACAAAACAATATAGAAGTCATAAGTATCAAAATAATAGAAGTATTATTTTAGACCAGTAATTCTCGATTTCTTTTGCTCCATGCACCTCTTTCACCATTTCCCCCCTCCCCCCATTCCAAAGCTCGAAAATTTATATATATATTTAAATTTAGATTATTTTGTAATGTGTTTTATAAAAAGAAAAGAATAGAAAAGGTTGATAAATAACAAAACTTGAATAAGAGTTTCCTCCGTGCACCTCTGTCACCATTTCCCCCCATTCCAAAGCTCGAAAATGTATATATATATATATTTAAATTTAGATTATTTCATAATGTGTTTTATAAAAAGAAAAGAATAGAAAAGGTTGATAAATACCAAAACTTGAATAAGAGTTTCCTCCTGAAACTATAAAATTCCCCCTTGGTTGAGGACTGTATACAGTTGAAAATGGATTATAAGTTTCATATTAATGCTTCCAGATCATGTGATTTTTCTCAGATTTGCTACTTTTGACAAATCTGCACTACAATAATTTAGGTCTATCTGATTTTTCAAATTTTCTGCGATCCCATCATTTCCTATTGCTACATTTTGCTGTACTGTTTTTAGCATATGATTACATTCCTCTATAATGGTGTGATGGGAAAGCAAAAATTAAGATGCTATTTTAGAAAGTGCATGAATGCCTACATCTTCGAAACTACAAATGTTACAATCAATCTAAATATATCATTAGATGAATGAAAGAGCACATAAGCAAACACACATAAAGATTTAATTGGCCAAAGCATATACATTTAGTAAAATAGCAAAATTTTGTTAAAGCTTTGTGCGCATGTGCGACACCGTATATTTCGCAAGGTCGTCTGGTAAACTGTTGCACATAGACAATCAGTGTCTTTGAGTAGTATATGCTGCATTTTATTAGTCCAAAGGGGCTTTTTCCCTGGAGGACTATTGTTTTCATTTTGAGATTCTGCGTTGAATCACTATAAATGTCCGTTGTTTCACGTTTCAAACTGTTGCCACCAAATATTAGAGTCTTGCTTTATATTTGAAGAAATTAAATAATGAAAAATCTGTATAAATGTATGTCTAGTTCTCACATTGTGATAAAACAACGGTACATAGAGCCATCGAATTTTGAATGATGTAATCCTCCTACGAATATGGGCATGTGGAAGGCCAAATTTGGAATTTGTTTTATTATCGATTTCATATTTTGTAAAACGTTAAGGAATTTTTTAGTTACAAACTCAACAATTTAAAAGCAAGCAATGGCAACCCTCTATGGCGGGAGGGGGGGGGACCTTTTTATCTCCAGCAGGCACGGAACTGTATATCAGAAATTCTAAAGATATGCTCATTTTAAAATTATTTTGCGACATTGCTACTGAATGGAATTTTATGGTTTAAGTGAAAAGAACATGCTATTTAATAAATAAAGGTAGCATACAAAACATTAAAAAAAGCCTCTTTGGACGTAATTTAAAATCTGAAACCTTTCAGATTTTTTTTTTTTGGAGGGGGGGCTTGTATTTATTTATTTATTTATTATTTGCTGTACTTTATTTTACCAAGCTAGTGGTATTGCGATTTATAGAAATTTGATGAGTGTACCACATTTTGTATGAATAGAATTTACTGAGAATTATATTATGAGAGAATAGAGGGTTTAGGAGCAGGTGATATTTCTATAGTTGATGTAATTGTTAATAGACAGATTTACTTTACTAAATATATGTTAATTCAGAAGATTTGAAGATGTTCATGTTTAGTGCATTGATCTGTGCAAAATATTACAGGGGCTTGCAAAATTTAAATCAGATTATAGCTGCTGTGTTAACTAAAGTGTGAATCATGAGTAGCATGAAAACATTCAACACCACCTCTAAAAATGCTTAGCTTTAAATACCCAGCCATATTTGAGAATTGGTTAGAAAGAATGTAAATACACAAGACAAGCAAAAAGCATAACCAGAATTCTTAACAGATTCTGCATCAAGAGAGAGAAAAAAAAAAATCATTTAAAAAAGTGAATAGCATAAATCAGTGAAATAAAACTTGCTGTATTTCTTGCTTGCCATGCATCAGTATGTGGTCCATGGATTATTTGAGTGAAATTTTTAAGAAAGAGGTACCTTCAAATGCATCATATGAAATTTTACACAGGATGAAATGCATAGCATTGCTAATGAAAGCTATTTCACTTATATTGCTCAAATAACAAGTAATAAATCTAAATTTTTTTCTAAAATTCGATAAGTCTACAGATATTTTATGCCACAAAACATCCATTATAAGAACATATACCAGCATCTATGCTTATGTTATTATAATGGAAAGGAAAATATCAAGACAGTTATTAGGACTCATTTGACTACTGCTAGTGCATTGTATAAGCATTCGAAAGTTTGTTTCCTTTGTACTCAAATTGTCTTTCATTCATTTAAATTGCAATTTTAATGCTTATTTTTTTGAGCTCATGGATCAAAGATTATATTACTGGTGGTTGAGCCAGCTTCATAAAAATAATTGCAATAAAGGGGAAAATATTGCAAGAGGAATGCAAGACAAAAAATGGACACCTTAATACTAATGTTAATGATTTTTTTGCCCTACAATTTTTTTTTCAATTATTCATTTCAATACCAAATGATAATGTGTTGCTTTTTAGCCCCTGTGGTAGATGTTGGATACTCAAACAGTGAAAGAGAAATGCTAAATTTAAATCAGATTATACTTAAATTTATAAGTCATTCTTCAATAGCTTCATAAGCCATTCTTCTGATTATAATATTGTTAAGAACTAAACAATTGAAGCAACGTAAAAATTAAAGCAATACCAGATTTCTAAATAACAACACAAACAAATTTAGCAAAGGAAGAACTGCTTGTACTAGCAATCTGGTTCTGACGAAAGGAAATAAGTTCAACGTTCAGAACAAAAAATTAACTGGAATGCATTAACAATTAAAGTAAAACAAGAAACGATGAATAGAAAAGAAAAAAAAAAAACATCATTTAAAAAAAAGTTAGTACAGTAGCATAAAGAATTCAAACATGAGGAAGCATCTAGCAATGCATATGAACAAATTTACTGAGAATTAATTAAAGGAATTAAATAATAAAAATTAGTAATTTGGTTTTAAGATTTTGTCAAAACTAATGTATGTAGTAAATTGACGAAGGATCAAATTATGTCCATAACTTGACCCATGGAGACTAAATTTATGATGAGTTCACATGTCGTGACCCCATGAACTTATGATGTCATAAAACATATGTGATCTGTGGTGCCACATGCTACTTTTGAATCTCCTTCTGTTACATTAGCTCGAGAATTTCTGGCAACACTGCTTCATAGCATGGCTTATCAATAATATTAGCAAGATCTTACCCCTTCATTATTCCTTATTTATTAACCTTCCGGATTTTATCCTGCAGCCGTGCTTTATTGTTCTGATTCAAAATATGTTTAATGTACAATTTAATTGAATAATAAGAAATTAATCAAGTTTGTTGGTTGTAACAATTTTGAGGTCTAGTTTGAAAGAAAATTGCTTTTTTATTTCCAAAAATACTGCAGTGCCCTTAAATCCATTCTAAAAAAATTTCTTTCCTCCCCCCCCTCCCCATCTCAAGAACTGAATTACCCAATGCAGGAGAATTTCTGTTGATAAAGGAAATGGTGTAATGGTTATTGCTGCATGTAAATGGGAGAGCAAAATATTTTCTCAAATTTATGATTTAAACCCAATTATTCTTCATTGCAATTTAAAGCTTAAAAAATAGAAATTCAGAAAAATTTTCTGAACTTGCTATTGTACAAGCATCAGAATGTGACTTACCTATATGTATTTATAATCAATCACATACTTTGTATTCAATACCTATAGTTATTAAGATACAGCATCTGAAAACATTTCTTGAGCAAGTCCCAGTATTTCTGTTTGAATTATATTCTAACTGAACTAAGGAGTGTGGATCCACTCCTTGTGATGCATTCCGGGCAATGGTTATATACAAAGGGGTCTGCACCATTTGGTGTATATCCTCAACAACACTTTGCAAATAATTAAAATTAGTTTTTTGTTTCCTTAATAGTTGTTCATTTGCTTTTTATGATTTCATATTTTCTGATTATCTCATTTATAACTGTATTAAAATTCCTTTTTAGGTTGTATTTGAATGTTTGCATTTTGCTGACAGATTTATCCATTGATAGTCTTCAAATAAGGTATGATTTTTAGTATTATATACATAATTTTACAATGCATTTCTAAAACACTTGTCTTGTAATGTGTTATCTTCTTACTAAAAAACTGGAGTTAAAGCCAGGAATTACTGACACAACTAATTATATGGAGAAAAGTTGAAAGATACTTTTTTAAACTAACAGATTTATGTAAGTGCCAAAATATTAATTCAAAATTGTGATTTGATAATTTTACTGTTCTCTTTTTTTTTTTCTCTGTTGCTATTGTGATTCTTATCATAACAAGTAGTTAAAATTATGATTTTTGAAGAGTACATTTCCCAATACAGATTTAATTAAATTATTTGTATTGCCTTTTCTGTATTCCAGTTATAGGACTTGCACTTTCATGCTGTCTTTGATTCAAATATTTACTTTTTACCCCATTTTGGTAGAAAATTTGGATAAAAATTAAATACAGTGTTTTAATTTTATATTTAAAAAAATCTTGTCTGGTTGACATAGGATTTCAAAAAGCGAATTACTGTAAAATATAGTATATAATATTATGTAAGGTGTAAATTATGTAGAATGTACTGTTGTAAACTAGTAAAATATAAATTTTTGGAAAATGTTTAAATAATTTTATTTTTAATTTCTAGTTGTTTGATCTAGGAAATTTCTTATTGCATGAGAGCTTTTTATTCATGTGATTAACTATGACCTGTTTTCTTAAGGAAATCTGTTTTCTTTAATCCTTTTCTCTGCACATGTAACTTGAATGCGAATCAATTTCTGATATAAAGTCTTCACTGAAAGTATATCTCCTAAGGAAGGTAGCTCTCATGTACTTTGTCCCTATTAAATACCATGCAGTATTTTATGCAGTTAGTTTTGAATTTTGAAAAAATTTAAAGTTTTTAATTAGGTTTTGGCACTTTTTTTTAGGAAGTATGCAGTATTATATTTATTTTCTAAACAAGTTGCAATCACAGCAAAGTTGGATATGCTGAAATTTTGTATAATTAGAAATGAATGTTGAAGTGTAGAATTTGAAATTAATGATAACTTCCATCTGTTAGTTGAATTTTTGGTTAGCCAAATTCAAATTGGGGGGGGGGGAGATTTGGCTCAAATTTTGAGCTCAGTTATTTTGCAGCATTTATATTTGACCTGTGTTGTTTCTAAGTGAATAAATTTAGTACTGAAGTGATGTGTTGATTATTGTTGGGGCTTTTATTGTTAAGTGAAAAGCCTGTAAAGTCATATTCATTAGATAGTTTTGTTATCATTTGCTGTTGCTTTTGAAACATCTATATAGAATAAATAAAATGAGTATATTTATCAACAAATATCCTACACAGCATAACATTTCATATTCTGACTACCTCTAGAAGTGAAGTGTATTTCATAGAACATACACATTGGTATAGAATGTTGGTTCTCTAAAGTAGTCACATCCACAGAATATTAAAGTTACCTAGAACCATGGATGGTCATCTTAGGGTGGTTTCATTGCATATAAGTATTTTTTATTTAAAAAAAAAATGTTTAGCCTAGTTTTAGAGTGAGAAAAAAGTGAAGCAGGATTAGACCTTTTTTCTCACTCTATTGGCTTTACCTGAAATTTTGTATTGAAATATATTGTAGTATTTATATCGTGCTCAGTATTTGTCACACTTTTTTTTTTAATGTTTAGTAAATTATGCAAATCATCCAAAGCAGGAGCAATCATCTGCTGAAGCAATCAATGCAAATCTATCTACTGAAGCAGGAGAAGGACCCATATGGAAGACTTTGTGAGGGAAAATTAGTTGGTGTTTATGTTTGTATTACATTTAGAGAAAATCCTAAAAACTTAATGTAGCAGGATTATCAACTGCCAGGAATCAAACCTGGCAAAAATGAGTAGTGTTCTGTTGTTTTTTAGTTACTCATTATCATATGTACAGGCATTGTCACTTTTCAATATTTTTTAGTTACCTTTATCATTTCAAATGGTTATGTATTTCATAATATGACTTAGTTCTTCAGTTTATATGATTAATTTGTAATTCTTTGAAATAATATGACTTTATATTTGTATACAGTAATTTTTAAGGGAAAAATTATTTATTATTGTTTTGATTTGTAAAAAAAAATATTGATATTACCAGTGAAATGTCTGTTAAAAAAAAAAAATACAAAGATTTCACCACGAGCTAAAGCTGGTTCAAGAAAAGGAGGGGTGCTTCTGTTTTTGAGACATTTGAATATGCATCTTTATTAATAAAAATTACTTAATTATGATGTGCTATTAGTGGATTCTATAAAAGGTCAATTAAATTTTAAAGGACATCATGTAGAAAATTCCATATTTTATGATTTTTTTCGATGTTGTACATTTATTATGATTTATATAGTTGTATACTTTGTGCGATCTGTAGAAACATGACTGCATGTGTTCTGTTTTTTCTCATGAATACTGATTTTGATATGTAGTTGTATATATATATGAGGGCCATGTCTGCTAGTTTATTTTAATTATTAAATATAAATGTTTTCATTAATGATTTTTTAATTTTATTTTAGTAGCATATAAAATACCTTGTTTGAATTAAAATTGCATGAATTCCACTATAAAGTATTAAATGATTTTTTTTTTTTTTTTTTTTTTTTTTTTTTTTTTTTGTTTGTTTGTTTAAATTATTTTTAATGTTTGTCTTAAACTTTTAAATTATTCTTAAAATTTGTTTGTTTAAATTATTCTTCCCCCTCTAAAACATGTATTAAAAAAATTCTTATATTTTAATACCTGAAAGCTGAAAACAAGTTTGTTCCGTTTGTGATGATTCTTGTTTATGAACAAATATTTAATTACATATGATATATAATGATGGCATGTAGTTTTTTTAATTTCATTATATAATGGTACTGAAATAAGTAATTGTTACATCTTGATTATTAATCAATCTGTTTTATTTTAAATAATTAATTTGCAATACTTGCTGTATTCCGTGGCAAAACAATATTTTTTCCAGATGTTAATAAATTAAATACTCCTTATTGTGCCAGCAATAATTTAAACTTTTAAAAAATTTCTCTGGTGATTAAAGGCTTTTATAGTGTTATTTGTATTGTAAAAAAATTTAAACTTTTTATAACAAATATTTACTTTTATATAAACTTGATGATGGCATAAGCATTTTGTATTACATCTGATAAAAAGATCATATTAAATACTGACCCAATTTCGTGGCATTGTGAAAACAATAGTACTTATTTCCAGATGTTAATAAATTAAATACTCCTTATTGTGCCAGCAATAAATTTAATTAAACTCTGGGTAAAATTTGTTTTTATTGTATTTAATTTGGAAAAAGAATTTTATCGTGCATTTTACTTAACTATTTTGGTAGATATAGTGTTATTTATTCAACTTACAGCAGTAAGTGGTTTTGATAATTTGTACTAAAATGCAGCCTGAATTTTTATTTAAAGTAAAGGAAGACTTGATTTTCTTATTAAATTTATGGATACATTTATTTTATTTGATTAAAAAAAATAAACTTTTCTAACCAGAAAATATTTGTTTCATATTTTGATATTAAAATATTAAACATGGAACCCTTTTATGATATTATTTAATAATATTTTGCACAGAATTATTAAAAAATTAATATAGTTTATTTTTGGATGTCAAATGCAAGTTTTGGGCATTAAATATCAAGAATTATTGTTTTAACAGGGTTCATACAGTCCTTAAAAGTCCGACCAAAATCGGCAGAAGGTCCTTAATTTTAATCATCTGAAATTTCTGTCTGTTTTTACGACTGCCATCTTGAGTGTGAATTAATATTTTGGAGGAATATTTTTGGCGATTCGCTGACAAATATGGTTATCTTTTGAATGGGTTCATGGGTTATAATTTGTTCCTATTTCTAATTATAAATGCTGGGATAGAGTTTCTGAGCACGAAGTGAAACATAAGCATTTCGAAATTATTTCATTTTTTATAATGAAGAGCTCTTAAAGAACTTTTCCCTTTTGGGGGATGGGAATTTTTTTATTAAATGGTTCTAAATTTGGCGATTTTAAGATCAGTTTCTATAGAAAATTTTTATTTCCGAGATCTGGGAATTTTTCAATGATATTTTTCAGAACATTGTAACATTGATAAATTTCATTTAAATAATGGTAATATTTTGGAATTGTATTTAAGAAATAACATTAAAATAAAGCATTTGTATTTTTCGCTGTCATATTATAAAGTTCCATTTTGGCCACTTATTATACAATATTTTTGAATGTGAAAAATAAGCAAGGTATAATGCTGTAAAGCACCTTTTCTGAAACATTTCTTAGCAAAAGCAAAATAGCTATGTAATTAATTAAAAATCTATTTTAAAATTTTTCATGGTGTTTATCGAGTTTTTCCCATGTAATTTTCTCAGAATATGCATCAGTTTTCTACAGAGCTTAACTTGCGACCAAGCCCACAGGAGCCCTGCTCCGGTACTTCTTTAGTTTTGCGGTTAAATCATAATTCTACCCGGATCCCTACACTTCTTTTATGTACCTGAGCAAAATTTCAGTAGAAATTACATCTTGAAAATTTTATTTTTAGTAATAAAATTATATTAAAAATCGCTTATTAAATTTTAATTTATCTCTTCGTATTTTGTTAAATTTTAACTTTCACTGTTTAATTATTTTAAGCATTTATTAGTGAATTATTTAATTTTTTTTAATTATTAATGATTTTATTAGTCATGCTGTTACAGAATTGGTAGGGGTAATTTTTCTTTAGGATTTTAGACATTGCAGCTTGGAAAGTTTAGAAAGATATGAAGGTAAGATTTATAGATCCACGATTACAGAAGATTCCAGAAAAATGTGACAAAATGAAAAATATCCCTATGGTATTAACACATAATTTCTTACTTTTTGGAGAATGTCTGGAAGAACAGTGAAAACATTAGTTTTGTAGTTGAAAGTTTTACTTCTGATACTAGAATCTTCTTAACATTTTTATCTTCCTTTATTTTCTCTACTTCTCATTAGACATGAGCATGGAGAATATCAGAAATGTTTCTAATCTTATCATATGGACAGGCATTATAGAAAAAAAATGTTTTTTACTAATAAAGAAATTGAAAACTGAAAATTTAAAAGAATCATCTAATATGTCTTAATGCATCATATACATGGCTGGCACTAGGCATTTTCCCACCTGATGTAGTTTCTGTGGATCTTAAATACTGCTTGCAGTGCCTGTTCTAAATGCTAAAAGTTTTGCCATTTCTAGATTTTGTTGCTCGGTGTGTCAATAAATTCTGAAAATTATGCCACATCAGCTCTGTAACCGAACCTTATCATATATATTTTATATTTCTTCTGAATGTTCATATTACTAAAGAAATAAAATTAGCAGCTTTTTCTATACATTCTAAATGCATTTATTTTATTTAGAATAACATAAATCTTTAATTAAATCTAAAAATTCTAAAATGAAAAGGAAATGGGGAAGAAAGAAACTGAATACATAAAGAGAAAGAAAATTATTCTTCAATGATATGTTCAGTTATTATTATGTAACTTACCCAGTTGTTTACAATTTCAGCCTTTACTCTAATTTCCCATTTCTATTTCCTTACCAGAATGCAAATTACTTACAGTTTTTAAACTGAGGTTTTTGGAGTGTAAGACAAGAGTGTTTCTGACCTCCACTTGCTCCCTGCATTAGTACCTGCCAGCTCTTATAATTTGTAATTATTTGTCTTCGCATTACCACTGCCGACATTTGATTTTTTTACGACGATAGAGTTACTGAGTCAGCTTAAGATGAAATTAAGTTTTATAGTCTTTGACCGCTAGTCGATATTTTTAGTTTGAATTTCACTCTTCTTGTTTAATTACATCACCACGAGCTGCAGTTGATTTTGTTAGCATAAGAACATGCCTCTATGTTCTAAGTTCTTTTTAAATAAGAAGCTTATTTAAATCTTTGTCTGACTTTGTAGTTACTTTCAGACACAGCCATAATTTGCTTTACAACTGCCGGGGGTTTTGCAACTATTTAACTTTTACCAGATCAAATAAACCCTCATAAGTACATTGTGGAGAGGTTGACAGGTTAGGAGATAAAACACGCAGAAACTAGTGAGGACATTCTTTTGCATATTGAGACAAATTTATAATTGTTAGTAAAGATGATTCAAGAGAAGGAAATCGATATAAATTACCCAAAATGTCTGGGAAGGCTTCAAATTAAAAAGATGCATAACTATTTTGTTGAGTTTTGTTGCTACAAAACATAAATGTTTTTGTAGCTTTTAATATGTAATTATCCTAATATCGTTTAAGAATCAATGTCATAAATTATAGGTATTTTAAACTGTGAAATTTCATTAGATTGTGATTTTACTACGGCTAAAAAATAAATAAAATTTAATAGTGGCCATGTAAATCCATAATGATTAAGGTTATCTAATACCTAATTTAATTACTTATAACTAACTGCTTACACTGATTCAGAAGTCAAACAACAAAAATCAGCGTTAATTCACAAAATTTTCACAGGACTAGTTTCGATCGTTTTACCGAACCATCATCTTCAGCTGCAAACCCGCAAAACCTGCAACCTTTGCGGGTTTGCAGCTGAAGATGATGGTTCGGTAAAACGATCGAAACTAGTCCTGTGAAAATTTTGTGAATTAACGCTGATTTTTGTTGTTTGACTTCTGAATCAGTATTTATTCGGCGTGTTATTGTGTCTTAATTAACTGCTTACACTTAAAAATTATCTCTGCATATTAAAGTGAGTTATTGCCTTTCATTAACCCTTACTGTGATCACAACATAAAACACAAAAATGTAAAAACTTATTTAAAAATACCTTAATATATTATATGAGTCGCAACCCCTGGAACTCTACAGGAAATTATGATGATAACTGCGTCAGACAGAGCCCAGCTAACTTTCAGAACCTGCCAACTGTGTCTACATCAGGCCTCTCAGGTTTGTTCTGATCATCAGGTCTCTTTCTAGGCAACGGTGACAACAACCAGTCTTTTGTTATGAATCATGCTGATTATGATTTCATTTTAACCTATGCCCCTTGACATAAAATCTGTTTACTATTTATTAAATCTCTAGACTGAGTGAGTATGTTACAAAATGAAACATTAATAATAATAATAAACATAAAGCTAACTATTTGTAAAACATAAATAAAATGCCACTTATCTTCTTTCAAATATGTCCAATTATTATAAGTGTAAAATATTTAATGCTACTTGATAAATT